CCGAAACATGAACTTGTTTAATAAAATAGAATTTATTTATATGGCAATAAAAATTATGTTACTCAGATTATGAAGATTATGTTATGTATTCATCATTCTTTATTTAGGAAGCAGCTCTCGCAGAAGTAAATGGCGATTGGATTCGAGCGAAGGATGCGTTTACGAAAGCTTATGAAGAAACAACAGATCCTTCAATAAAGGAACACTGTCTGCAAGGATTACTTGAAGCAGTGAATAATCTCTGTGATTGGTCAGTGATCGACAAACTCGTGAAGAGTCGTGCGAGAAATGAGAACCTACGTAATATCTGGAATGACGCATGGAAAGACTGGATGATCCCATGTGCGTGCGATGCCTATGTACATATGCTGTCAGAAGAGAGAGATTTGGAGATGAACGATATGGAGGCTATCAAATCATGGATATATACTCGAGAAAAATTGCAACATCTTATGCCCTTGACGGGCGAAAATCTGGTGATATTTTTGCTCAATTTTGAGGATATGAGAAAGGCGACCGATCTATTAAATGATCTCTTGGATATGACAGGAAAGCAATGGGTTGGACTTAATCCCCTCTGTACCGAGCTGCGAATACGCAAATTATTCAAGCTGCAAATCATGAACGATCTCGACGCTTCGCTCAAAATTCTTCGATGCACGAACAGAGCAGAGTACTTGAACAGAACGATCGCGTTGTTGAATTTATGGTCAATGAAAACGACCACAATTCGAGACAATCTCATTCAGTGGAACAAATTAATTGCTGATCGAGCATATTTCTCGATGTTGTTTCAGAACAAATGTAGAAAACGGGAAGTGACGAAACGGCGTTATCAAATGAACTATCAGCTCCGATTAGACATCATCAACGCCGCGTTGAATCAAAAACACCGATATATCGCCGAGAAACATCTGAATTATGTAAATGAAGCATTTTCTGAGGATGACAGTCACTTGGATATGGTTAGTAACTTAAAATGGCTTAAAGCTAGACTCAAGTCTCTATTCACCGACGTTGAGACTGACATTTTAAAAAAAATGTCCAATTACACTGATTCCTGGAAAAACTCGCATAGATTATTGAACGGCGAGCTTGGTGCTGACACAAGTAATGCCATCAAAGAACATATTAGCATAATGGCTTCGAAGATCGAATTCTTGAGCAGGGAGAACCAAGAGTTTGCGATAGCATTGAAGTACAATACCAAGATCCTGCGGAACATAGGAAACGTAGGACACAGAGAAGAAATAGCAGCAATACCAGGAATACCAGTGGATGACCTGAATAAAATCCGAAAATATTTGCTGGGTTACAGTTTGAAAAAACTGCAATCTTGCTGCGAGGACACGACCACCGCCAACATTGGCAAACACTATTGCGCCCTGGCTAAACACTGTTATGGTAGACTAATGAGCACTGACGTAGAAAGCGACGAGATCTTCCAAGAATTTCTGTTGTCCACTTTGAAATCCATGTATCACGATTGTCTCGAAGCTACGTATTACTTCCCCTGCTTGCTGAGACCTGAACGATTACAGAACGACGAAATGCGAGAAACGTTCGTCCGAGAATGCGGCGAATTGCGGCCATGGCTATTTTTGCGCTGGCGGGACTTGCTCTTTTCCCATCTGGGAACACCGTTGATCTCAACCGCGATTATGCCGATCATCAAGAGGCTCGCCAAGGCTTATCCCGATGCGATTATCTATAATTATTATCTTACTGTTGAGAGAAATCCTAGTATTCTTAAGGATGTGAACATTCAGCAGATACGCTCGCTCTTACACGACAAAGCGAAAGAGTATGAGCGGTTCTTGCAAGCGATACAATACGTGGTGCAACCTCAACTATATTTGAAATACTATCTCGATAAGCTGATGAATCCAGAGAATACGATGACCATCGAATCACTGTTACAAAGAGTCTATCCGAATTCCAGCACAGGCGCGAAAAGAAAAAATCCGCGACCAGGCGCTATTTTTAAAGAAATTGCAGAATACGAGAGCGTTATAAGATCCTTGAATCCAGATGATCTTGATGTGCGAAAAGAAATGACAAAACTTAAGGATATTCAATTAAAATTAATCGGGTCAATTCGGAGGCAGAATAATAGAAACAATAGGAAAGGAAGCACAAGCAAGCTGAAGAATTATAGCCCGTTTTTGTGCGAATACATCGGTGGCAGTATTGAAATACCCGGACAATACACCGGTGATAGGGAACCCATACCGCATTACCACGTGAGGATTGCGCGATTCGAGCCGCAGGTGGAGGTCATGCAATCGCTGCGAAAGCCGATTCGCATCAACATAATAGGCGACAATGGCAAGGAATACAAATTTCTAGTAAAATTTGGCGAAGATCTAACGATAGATCGGGGCCTACAGCAACTATATTCCACTATGAACAAAACGTTGCGCAACGATCCCAGCTGCAGACAGAGGCGCTTAGCCATCGACACATATGAGGTGATACATATTTTCCAACTTAGATACTGTCTACATGTCTTTGCTGTTGTAACATAAATTTTCCTTTTACAGGTGATTCCAATATCGAGCTCGTTCGGTCTTATACAATGGATTGAAGACACAAGATCTCTGGATGAATTGATATGCTTAACTCTGTCAGATAAGGAGAAAGATTGCTGCCAGAATATTGTTGAGAAATACGCGAAGTGGATACAGAAAGCGGCGCCCGAAAAACGGCTGATCCGCGATTTTTATATAGAAGCTGTATCTAAATATAACCAGCAAGCGGTCACAGAGAACATGAACTGCCTGATTAGAGAGACGAAGCAAACAGCTCTACGTGATGCGTTTAATTCAATCAGCCCGTCTCCGGACTGCTTCGTTACGCTGCGACGCAACTTCATCATCAGTTACGCGACCATGTGTGTGGCGCATTGGCTCGCAGGAATCGGTGATCGCCACCTACAGAACATCCTGGTGCGTGTCGCGACCGGACGTTGCTTAGGCATCGATTTCGGTCATGCTTTCGGTAGTGGTATAGGCGCGTCAGTACCGGAACTCGTGCCGTTCCGTCTGACGCCGCAAATCCTCGAGTTGTTACGACCCTTCACAGAGCGGGACCTCTTAGCGACGATCATGACTCATACAATGCAGGCCTTGCGCGATGACCAGGGTCCGATTCTCGCTTGCATGGACATCTTCGTTTACAAACCCATTCAGTGGTTGAACATCAATGATGACGAGATAATAAGAAATGGCGATGAAAATATTAACACAGGTATAAAAGAATACACAAATTGTGAAGTGAAGATGTAAATTTTATAAAATGATTAATTTGATAAATAAGATCGACTTTTGGCAAGGGTAAAATAACTATGTCATAAAAATTATAGGAGCTATTCAGAAAAAATATATTTTTTTTTTAAATCATAAATATAGATATTTATAGGATATATTGTAATAGTGTACACACACACACACACACAACGCGCGCGCGCGCACAGAATGAAACAAATCGAAGTTGTTAGAACTAAATAGCTTCTGTGTGTAATAAATGAAAAATGATAAGAATTAGATACACTATATAGTATTGTAAAAGAAATCCATTCATTTTTCAACAAACGTATGTAAGAGGAATAACACATTTTATGATTCGCAGATTTAACATGGTCCAAGAAAAATATTGAAATAGTTGCGAAAAAGTTAAATGGAATCCATCCTTCAATCATTACATTAGAGCAATTGAACGACAGTCGGAAAAGAAGAACAATTGACGATAGACACTTTGCGAAATATTATGCCATTGTCTTGGGCAATGATGAGATCAAACAAGCACGAGCAGATATAAAGAAGGACTATTTGACTTCTGTAGAACAGGTAATTTTATTATTAAAAATTCATTACTGAATCTATTTTTACGGCTCACCATTAATGATCGATCATGTTTTAGGTGGATTGTTTATTGGATCAAGCAAAAGATTTGAATATCTTAGGCCGTATGTACCAAAATTGGAGATCTTGGCTATAAAGCTGCATAATATTTATAAAATATATTATGTTTGACTATTATGTTTGAAGTATCAATAATTTAAAAGTATAAAAATTGTTTTAATCAAATCTGGAAAGCTCAAACAAAATTTATTTATGCCAAAGAAAAAATTATTACAACATTAATTCGAGAAAAATTAAATTCGTAATTATATATATATATATATATAATATACATACATATACATATACACGAAAAATACAGTTTACATTTTGTTTATTGACATAAATAAAATATTTTCTGCATTATAAACATAATTTATATATGTCTAATGTATTAAGAGCAAACGGCTATTATTATATATATTCGTGACTGTATAAGATATGTTTGATAAGTTAGAATTTCGTGGAAAATTGTTACGATGGTGTGTTAAAATATTAGACACATTTATATGTTTTTTAAAGTCAGTATACATTTCTAGTTTTGCTAATTCATTGTGTACAATATTGAAATATTTTCTATATCTTTCTAATAAGACAAACAAAGTTTATTTTATCTAGATTTTATAAATGTTAAATGTAATTAATAGATTGTTAAGAACTATATATAATTTTTGGTTTATAAGGTATATCATGTTATATTAAGAAAAAAAAAATAAAAATAAACTTCTAATATTTAGAGGAGAAATAGTGAATAATAATTTTGGATTTTATTACTTGCAAATTATCAAAAATCTTCCAAGAAACCCCGACATAAAAAATTTTGTCTTAAAAAAATAAAAATAAAAATATGTGAAGTAAACTGCCAGTTTGCTCTTTTAAAAATATTCCAAGCAAACTGTTTGGATTAAATCGTTTTTAATATAAAAAATAGAGAAAAATTTATAGATTCGTGTGTTCATCTCAATGCTGTATGTATATCCAATGATATATGCAATAATCTTGCATGAAGTTTCCGCATAATTAAAGAAATTGCTAACATTAAATCCCAACAATATGTTACCCATATACATGGAGCGATAATATACCGCGAGTTTACTATTTTAAACAGGGATGCATCAGATATCAAATATCTGGTGTCACATTCTTCGGATGCCCGATATTCAGTCGGATATCTGATAGGGCAATTATCCGACCAAATACCAGATATTTTCCCGGATATCTGATCGAATATCTAGTACATAACTTCAAAAAAAGAAAAGACAGAATGAAATTCTGCATCAATATCTTAAACTTTCAATATAAAATTTCGGTCGGACATATCGGATACTAAGATATCTGATCGGATAGTAGAAAATACCGAATACCGGATATTTCCCAGATATCCGGCATATCCCTAATTTTAAAGATATAATTTGTACAATCACGATGAGATTTGAATTAATACTGTTCAGTCAAAGTTAACTATTTCTAATCTATTCGTAAGAGAAAATACAAGTGATAGTACCGAAATTACTTTAAGCTAAGAAAGCTTATATAACATTATATCAATAATAAAATATTATTTTGATATAAAATAGCATTTTACTTTATATCTAATGTCTATGATCTATGCTTTACAATGTCATCGTTCTTTCTTTCAACATAAAAACACAGATTTGTACAGATAATAACAGCGAATGACTTTACAAACTATTTTTACGTATCGCTCTTCCATAGTTTGATAGTTTTATCATTCTCAAGAGCAGCCGAAGCTATAATGTTGTCTGTCGGATGACATGTTGTGCAAAGTACTACGTCTGAAAACGACATGTGCATACAATTAGTAAATAAACTATTAAAAAATTCGAGAAAATTATTATAAAGTATAATCTCAAAGAAAAGACATTTATAGAGATTGAATTTTTTTTAAATCACACTAGATAAACAATTTTTCTTTTTTTAAATGTATATGCATATTTCCATATAAAGACCTGAAGATTTAATTTATTCAAAATAACGTCCATTCTGAGTTAATTAATTAATGTCATTTCTTAAATGAACATACGCTTACCTGTGTGTCCTTGTAACTTTTGTACGATCTCTTTTGTCTGTAAATTCCAAATGTACACCATGTGATCTTCAGAGCCGGATACAATCCACTGTGGATAAAAAAAAAGACTTAAAATAATCCTTAGAGACTTTTACATAATCTTAATTGTGAGGTATTTGAGATTGATTAAGTAATCGTATGCACCTTTCCACCCGTTACAGAGAAGTTCGCGAAGATGCAATATTTCTCATTTTTGTGGCCGCTGTACGTTTTCAGGCATTTCCCTTTACTGTAATCCCACAACTTTAATGTGTTGTCCAGTGTTGCTGCCAAGATGTACTTGCCGTTCGGCGAAAATTTGACAAATGATACTGGAGGATTGTCGTCGTCTATCAGAGTTTTTAGACATTGTCCTGATGCGGTGTCCCAAATTCGACTGCAAATCACGTGTATTAATATTATACAATAAATAAATTTCCAGAGAAAAAAACATGCGGATCTATTCTTCTCACCACAACTGGAAATTTGATGTTACAGAACTTACCATAATCCATCATAACTACTCGAGACGATTAAAGAGCCATCCCTATTGAAATGCACTGCACTTACAGGATCTGAATGTGCCGGCAAGGTTTTAAGGCATTTTCCGCTTCTCACATCCCAAATACGCACACTTTCGTCAAACTAAAAAAAGACAAACCTTTTAGATCTTATTCTTTTTGTAATTGCATATATACATAATGTCATTCACATTTTAATTTAATAATAGACCAAACATTTTGCACAGCTTATTATCTTTAATAAAAAAATTCATTATTAAATCTTTAATTTTGTGTAAAAAAATTAAAATAATAGGAAAAATGTTCTAAAATCATTACAGAAAAATTATATAACTTGATTCTTATAGAAATTTATATTTTGATTTCTAAATTGATTTTAAAATTTAAAACACTTAAATTTAAGAGGATTATTTTTATATATAATTAATAGAGAACAAATATATGTAATTAATTTATGTTACTTACAGAACCAGAGACTATAAGGTTGGACTGTGGGTTGAAATTACAACAAAAAACATAATTACTGTGACCTTTTAACGTTTTTAAACATTTACCCTGAAAAAATAAGAGATTCCAAGATTAATACGTCAAAAAATATACAATATTAAAAAAGAACTTTAATTTATTTTAGTACCCTTTTTTCTAATTACAAAGAATATCCTGTATAATAGAATACTTACAGAACTTAATTCCCATATTTTTAAAGTCTTGTCATCAGAAGCTGATACCAGCAATCTACTATCACTAGACCATGCTACATCAGAAATACCCAGCTTATGACCAGCTATAGTCTTCTCGAACTTTCCATCATAAGAACCCCAAATTTTGATAAGCTTATCAGCAGCTAAAAAATTAGAAATGTATATAAAAAAATCATTAGTCTATCATTGGTTATGTTAAATCTCATAACCAATGTTTATATTCTGTATCCAGATAGCCAAATTCCTTAACATAAGAAATAATTGTTTGACACAAATTTTCCTTCAACTGTCATCATGTTGTTGTCACCAAGACAATAGTAATTTCGTTCAAGGAACTTAAAGGAAATTATGCAGACAACAATTTCCTATGCAAAAGAGCAGAAATGCTGTAACATGTTGCTATAAAAGTGACCACAATCTATTTGTAAAAAGAAATTGTTGCCTGAATGATGCCATTAAGTTGCTTATAATCATTAGTGGCAATAAAAAGCAATCTCGCAAAATTGGTGCTTTTCTCAATATTGCAGGTAATTTAAGCACTTGATGTGACTTTATATTTGAGTAACTTTTAATGATGAAGTCGGTATCGTTATATTGTTGTTGTCCATGTATATTATATGTATATAGTAAAAAAGCTACATAACAACAATGTAATGATAATAAATTGTCATTAAGAGTTTGAGAATAAAGGCACTGATCTCTAAGAATCCATAGTTACCTGAGCTGGCCAACCATTCTCCATTGGGGCTAAATTTGACAGAAGATACTGCCTTAGTATGACCCGCCAAAGTATATTTCAATGTATAATTTGATTTCTGTAAATGTCATTCCTTTATTGATTTCATTTTTGTACAAAAACAATAACATTGTAACAACATTATAAAGTAACATTGGTCTAATGGCTACATCGTGCAGTCAATGGCTACATCGTGCACTTAGGCCACAGCCTATACAATAATGTCCTTGTTTATCTTATAAGTTAAAAATACCTATACTATATAGGTCATGGACTAGCACACAGTGTAAACATAGTCCCTAAGTTTATTTTTATTCCTATATTAGACTGTACTAACTCTCTTTCTCATTTTCATCAAATATCAAACATATCTACTTTACATTTCAAAAATGTTCAATCACCAAATCAGACTTCATATTTTCAATCTGAAAATTACACTGAAATGGCTTGTAGATAAAAAGAAAAGTAACCTTATTTGATAGAATTAGAATTACAAGAGCTAAACGGAACCTACAGAAGTTTTACTTTATTTATCTCTTTTTGTAAGTTTTTGTAACACGTGTATAAACAGATCAACGAAAATAAGTTTAACAAAATTTTATTCATATATTTCGTTCGTAACTTGAAAATTCAGTCATCTTAAATTTTCCCTGATATCTGCATCAAGAACTTTATCAAAGAATAATCTCGTTTACTCGTATATATTACCTCGTTTAACATTCATATCTCAATTAATCGAACCGGCGTATTGACGTGTTTAACCTGTACATACCCTTTACCATATGTAAATTCAAATACGCATGCATTGTATACTTTACCACTATCGCGTTTTTCGTTCCGCTGGCGGTCGCGCTGGAAGAATTATTCACGGACGTTTGATGTCCCGGCGATGGGCCGAGAGGTACCATATTTCCCAACTATATGCCGACAAAATTTACGAACGCAACAATGCGTTACAATGCGCAACGACGAGCAATCAACCCGTATAATGTAACAGAATATAAGCACGCTATATGACAATTAAAATCGACCGAATGTGCTGCTCTGAAGTTCGGACTTGTCCACACTGCTCCTATGGCGAAGTCAGACTGTCAGAGAGTCGATTGTATATCTTGAAACATAGTAAAAATTACAAAATGAACAAATTATAATTTTATTGATCAATACCTAGTAAATTTGTTTACTTTTGTAATTTTCTCCTCGTTTTGAGATACACAATTGATTCCCAGAAATAAATTAAGAAAGATAATGACGCTATCTGATTGGATACTTTACATCCTTGTATCCCTCCTTTCGTGTGTGATGTGTGTGTGTGTGTGTGTGTGTGTGTGTAAGAGAGAGAGAGAGAGAGAGAGAAAGAGAGAGAGAGAATAGATCGGTTCGCGTTGCTTGCACTTTTGCATTCAGTATCTTCACTTTCTCTCTCTCTCTTCAACGCCTGAATGTATATTTATCTCATTTTAAGTGCAAATATTTTGAGGATTTCAAACAACGTGAATGGACCTATAGCCATTAAAGTCATTCATCATCTACCTTCTCCTACACACTACACTGCTTCATCAAGATCTGTTGTCCACGAAAAGGTAATTTTCAAATAAAAAAAAAATTATCTCAAGCAGAATTATATGTGAAATACATACAAATTGAAATAAGAATTTATAAATGTATGAAACTTGTATTACATAGTTCTTACCATAGATCTGTTTGCATTGATTATACTTTTTGCACTCACTTTCTTCTCTTTTTAGGAAATTTCAAGTAACGCAAACCTCATGGTGGAAGAACTCACATTCATATTAATATTTTGCGTATGCAACTCTCAAGTAATTGCATATTTCATGTTGGGACCAAAATAAAAAGAGATATAACTATAACTTTATAATATATAATTTAATAACACAACATATACAATACATATACATTACATATTTTTAATATTTCTCCATATAAAAAGATGAAATTGTTGTGTGGCTTACATAATTATATGATTTTTGTAATTAACATACATATACATTTTATGTTACATTTTATGAATATATACATGAATATACATACATAGATCCAACCATATTCAGTAATAAAAATAATTGATAGATAAGATATAAAAACGCATTGCAGATATTTGCACGATAACAGATAGATTTGGCAACGTTATTTTTGGAGCTTACTATCCTGTAATACAGTTCTTCGTTAAAAATCATACGATTAAAGAATTGCTATAAAGAATACAAATTTGTGAAATTTGAATACAAACTCAGTGAATGGTTATAAATAATCATTGTCACTCAGAAACACGGACCATTAATCATCATGATTAAGAAATATTAAATTTCAAAAGATTAAAACAATATTTATTTAGTTTTATTAGAAATATATTTCAAACTTAAACTTTTTAAATAAATTAATATTTAATGATAAAAAGTATTTAATATTGAGTACAGAATTTAGTATTTAAATTTAAAAATTTAAATTTAAAACTACAATAGTACTAAATTTAGTATTAAAATATCATTATTAACAGAAACAATATTACTTACATATTAACACAGGTCCCTTCATTCTGCATGCTATTTTCCTTTCCTGCAATCATATTATTTCTTTCTCAGTGAATTGTATTTCATGGACGATCATATAAGATAAAAATTTGTAATATGGAATCAGTCAAATGGTAGGTAATCACTGTCACTCAGAAACACGGACGGATAATATCATCATAATCAAGAAATATCTAAGCATGAAAAACTACATAAATATTATACAAGATATAGAATTATTAATATTAAATACTTACCTAGAAACTCTGTTAGATCTTCATGGATATTTTTTTTTGGAATTTAGGATTGATTTATATTGGCTATTTTTAAAAATGATTTATTCCAGATATTTTTTGACGTAATTAGTTTATTCCTTTCTGTGGGTCAAGTTATGCCAACTTTCTTTAAAAACGCTCTTTTATGTAATTTTTTAATAATCTAAAAAATAAAATACATTTTACTGATCTCATAGTCATTCAACAAAACATATAAATTATATCATGAAAAGTTAGTCAGAGATTGGTTATAAAATTAATCACTGATAAATCAGTAACACGGACCAATTAATTTCATCATTTAAATAAGCAAAAGGATGCAAAACTACAGAGAAAAATTCATGGTTCGGGTATATTAAAGCCGACATTGTCTCCTGATTGTTAATATTAAAACTTACCTCGAAACTCTCTCAGATCTTTATGGATATTTTCTTTGGAATTCGAGACTGATTTACATTAACCATTTTTTTTTAAATGAATTTTATTCTTTTCCATAAGTTAGGTTATATCAATTTTCTTACAAAATACTCTTTCTTGTGTGGATTTTTTAATCTAAAAAATAAAATAAATTTTATCGATTTCATAATCGTCCAACACATCATATAAATTATATCATGAAAAATAGTCAGAGATTGGATATAAAATTAATCACTAATAAATCAGTAACACGGACCAATCAATTTCATCATTTAAGTAAACAAAAGGATGCGAAATACTATAGAAAAAAAATTTATGGTTTCAGTATATTAAAATCTAGACACTACCGTCTCTTGATTGTTAATATTAAACTTACCTCGAAACTCTCTCTGATCTTTGTTGATATTTTTTTTTTTTTTTGGAATTCGGGACCGATTTGTATTAGCCATTTTTTAAAAATGGTTTATTCCTTTCCACGAGTCAGATTATATCAATTTCCTTAAAAAATGCTTTCTTTTGTATAGATTTTTTAATAATCTAAAAATACATTTTACTCTCATCTCATAGTCGTCCAACACACCATATAAATTATATCATGAAAAACATTAATCAGAGATTGATTCTAAAATTAATCACTGATAAATCAGTAACACGGACCAATAAATTTCATCATTTAAATAAGCATAAGAACGCGAAATACTATAGAAAGAAAAATTTATGAAAATATTTCGAGTATACTAAATTAATAAAATACTCCGAAGAGAGTACGTGCCACGTGGTCGGCTGGTCGAGGACACGACCATTTGCAACCAAATGCGAATTTTTGTAAAGACCGAATTGAGAACGAAAAAATGGAATTAATGAAAAAAGAAATTGAGCGATGTATCAAGAAACAAAAAAATAAAATTTTCTTACCATCTTACGTCTCTTCCGCATTTTTCATGCGAGAGAATCAGACCGATCTGATGATTCACCTCACCTATTTGTAAAAGAAATGAAACGTTAACGGAAATCAGCGCTTCTTCAACCCTTCAACCTTCTAGGCTATGTTCAGAAATATCATCCGAGTGCTTTCTGTATCATTTTATCCTTGTTGTTCATCCAATGTGAAATAAGGATAAGATGAAACAGAGGACAAGATGATATTTCCGAACGCAGCCTAATGCGAGAAGCCTTCCCACTCTTCTATCTTTGTAACTTGAGTAGGAAATCAACCAATCACGATCGAAAGTTTTAAAATGGCAGTTGATGGCAACCATCATTTCCATCATTTCCGATCATCCTCGACTGTAATTGACCATTTCGTTTACTACTAAAGTCATAATGCTTACGTGTTTTTATAAGCGGCTCTAAAGATAAAACTTTGATTAACTTAGATACTTAAAAATTTGTAACAAATAAAATTTATTTTGTATTATTTTATTGACGTAGATAAAATTAATAATTTTTTTGTCACATAGGAAAAGATCAAGGACGACGAATTATGTAGCCGGAAATTTTATTACAATTCTTACGATTAAATTAAGTGATATTTAATCAAAGTTAGCCTTGGATGCAATACAAAGAAGATACTTGAGATACACATAAATTTTATTTCAATTATTATTTATCCTAGTAATCATATAATAAAAGAAACTTTCTCACTTTTTAAATTATTCTTTTTAGAGTTATTAAGTTATTTAAAATTTCTCTCTCTGCTTCAAGTACATATAGTATTTAAAATATCTTAATATCAACAGTTTTGTTCTATCAATATTACTTTGTGATAAATTCCTGATAATCTTATTTTGTTAAAAAACCATTGACAACACGTGAAAAATATAACTATTTATTTTTCGCTATCATAATATTTTACATTATTGAGTTCTCGCAACATTTTCATTGGAATGATACCTAATATAATAAAGTAGCCTCAATATGGCCGAAGGTGTCACACCTGAGATTTTATTGGCCGCTGCAATCTGCAAAAAAATTTCTCATTAGTACAAAAAAAATACAGTGTTAACAAATAAAAATAAAAAAAATTTGCTTTCGTGTTACAAATAAAAAGTTGATGTTTTTATAGGAGAATTATTAGCGTTGAAAAAATTTACCGTGCGTGGAAGATGTTTCATAAGTTTTTCTCGATCTTCATTAGATAAATTCAAATCAGGACTATAACAGAAATGAAATAAATAGTTAGTAATTTACTTAGATTATTATTCTTCCAATTTTACTATGCAACAATTAAATAACCAAACAACGAAATAAAGCTTTGACTTTTGTACCTATTGTAGTCGATATCGTCAGGTACAATCATCTGCTCGTTTCTCCTGATATCATTCACTTGGCCCTGCTGCTTCGCAACAGCGAAAACATATTTCGTCTCAATCTGAAAATTTAATCATTACCAGTATTTAAAAAAAAAATATTAGAAAATATGTATTTTATTTGAACGTTTGATCAAAATCTCTAAAATTTTTATTTTGTTTATATTTACACAAACTTTTAAATTGTCTTGTTTCTTCCAACATGCATTTAATTAATTTGCAAACCTCTATTCTTCTCGCCAAACCGGAATCTCCATCAAGATGTCCTAATTGCGGCAACTGTTTTGCTAGTTTTGCAAATGTCACTGACTCATCTGTCACGGACAGCATATCAAACGCTGATTTGTATCCAGTATCCTTAGAAATTTTCATTTTTAATAATTGTCGCCATTTGCTGGTCGACCGCACATCGCTCTTGAGTATCTGTACAACTTCCTGCATTTTACGAAAAACCTCTCTCGTTTTCTCGATCCTCTCACGAGAAACACAGCCTATCGCGTAACCCTTCTCTGTCAATCTCTGATCTGCATTGTCGGGACGTAGACTCACTCGAAACTCTGACCTGCTAGTGAACATTCTGTATGGCTCCGTGGTACCCTCCGTCGTCAGATCGTCGATAAGGACACCAATGTAACCCTCGGTTCGACTTATCAAAAGCGGTGGTTTCTTAAACACCTGATATACACAGAGATAAAAACGTATACAAATGTCTATATAATTGATTTCCTAATTAGCAGTATCGCGAAATAATGAAGCGCTGCAATTCTTCACAAATTAAAAAATCATAAATCATTCTTTTGGAATAAGTTGTATAGCTTATCTTTTTCGGGATAAAATGAAAATTTACAATCAGTGTAAATAAAAAAAAAACTAAAATAAACAAGTTATTCATGAGAAATTTTAATTCATGTGGTTATTTCAATGAAGGGCCATAAAACTTATTTCTTCTTCATTAGAAAGCATTAATTTTAAATACTTTCCATAATCACCTTAGCAGCTGCGTTAACACCCGCGATGATACCTTGTGCGGCTGCTTCTTCGTAACCAGTAGTGCCGTTTATTTGCCCAGCGAGGAACAGCCCTGGAACCTTTTTGGTCTCCAATTGAGTAGTCAATTCTCTGGGGTCTACGTAGTCATACTCGACGCCATAACCAGGTTTGACTATTCACATATAGATGCAAATGAAAAAGGGAATCAGGAAGATTTGATAATATAAATATCAATAAAAATAAAAGAATTTTATTATAACTTAAATTTAAGGAGATTACCTAGACGAGCATTTTCCAATCCTGGGATACATTTAACGAGTTCCACTTGCTTCTCTTCCGGCAGGGTACACGATAATCCACTCGGATAAATCAACGGTGAGTCCAGACCTTCCGGTTCTAGCCAAATTTGATGTTTAAGTGCCTTAAATCGTAGAATTTTACTCTCTATACTCGGGCAATATCGCGGACCCGTTATCTCCTCCGTTACGTGTAAATTACAGTGCATATTATCCTTTACGATTTTTGCGACATCTTCATTGGTATACGTCAAATGCGTTAGTATTTGCTTGTCAGGCGGTAACCATACATTATCGCTCATGAACGAGAATGGTATAGGCGAATCGTCCGGCGGATATGCCGTACATTTGGTGAAGTCGATGCTTTCTTTCTCCAACCTTGGCGGCGTGCCTAAAAATATACATATAATTCTAAATTAATATGTAGTTATATGTATATAATTAAAAATTTTAACATAAAGGCAAATTAATTAAGGTATATTAATTGTGTAATATCAAGTAAAAAATAATCATTAAATAAATAATACATACTATGTGAATTAATTAGAAATGTATTGTATGAAAACGTTATTTTTACCAGTTTTCAATCTTCCTATCCGAAATCCAAGTCTGTCGAGTGTATTTGCTAAACCAATACTAGGTTCATCGTTCAATCTACCTGCAGGCCTTTTTTCCAATCCAATGTTTATTTGGCCTTTCAAAAAAGTTCCTGTGGTTATAACTACCGCGTCGCCAAACATCTTCGTTCCGTCTCCTATAAAAATAAAATAAATTTGTATGTGACGTCGTATATAAAAAATAAATTCACCGAATCAGTTATTTTAGTTATTTTTCGTCAAATAGCAATTTCTTTTCTTTATTTTATTGAATTTTAAAACATACTGAGAATTACTCCTTGACAGGATAGAGAATCGTTCTCCAAAATCAGATTTTCTACAGAGGATTCATAAATATGCAATCTAGGCATATTGAAGAGTTCGGCTTGAAGATGTTTCTTGTATAATTTTCTATCAATTTGAGCTCTGAGACCCCATACCGCTGGCCCTTTACTCTTGTTCAAGACTCTATAATATATTCCTGAAATATCACATATCCGACAACATACTCCATCTAAAGCGTCCACTTCTCTCATCAGATGGCCTTTTCCAATTCCACCAAAGGACGGATTACATGACATCTCTCCTGCAAACATAATCATATTCAAATAAATTAGGTCATATAATTTAATTTCGATTAAAAATGCATTTAATATACAGCGATCCAATAGATTTCAACATTACTATCTTTATGCATACATACCTATAGTACTTTTTTTCTGAGTAACCAACAGTGTCTTTGCACCCATTCTAACAGCAGCGGCAGACGCTTCCGTTCCAGCATGACCGCCACCAACGACAATCACATCGAATTTGGTTTTATTCATATTTATTAATTGTCTCAGCAAACGTTTTTGTTCGATACGAATATCGCACCGATTTAACAAAGATGATCTGATTCTTGTAAATATCATTTTGTCTCGTTGTTACACCTTTCGTTTGTATTTTACTTTCTGCAAAGACATTTGATCATTCTTAAATATCAGAGAGAAAATATTAAAAAATATGAAATCAAATATTGATATGACTTATTACAGTTTAATAAATTATTTATTAATTATTGCTTATCTACATGTTAATATCTAGGTGCACATATATTAACGATATATTTAATCAGCTAACTCATCAATGACTTTGTATTTTAACTCCAGAATTAAAATTGAACAGGTCTGACCTAACTTTTCTAATACAAAAATATATCTTATTTTAATTTATCTCGTGTTATAATATGACTTTCTTTCGGCAAAAAGAGAATTCATGCTGTAGTTAACAAGACAGATGAGTATTACAAATAGAATATTTATCTGGGGAATTTTTTATGAAGAAGAAAAAGACATACAAACATGAATGTTTTTATTACATAAATTACAATATAAATAAAATAGAAGAAAATGTATCAAAAGAGATGATCCAACAGAAGATATTCTTGATCCTTCAAGGTTCTGTGTAATGAAACATATTGCATTGCTTTATACATTTTCGACAGTATCAATCGTTCGCACAGCTCTTCCTTGCTCTCAAATCTTAGATCTCTGTATCTCAGATTATTAAAAAATTCTAAAACGAAGTTGAAACAATTCATATTGATGACATCATAATTAATGGATTTCCACTTGAGATCCTTTGACATAAGTAACAATGCTTCGTCCCATTGTGCAGTCCAGGCTGTCGGTATAAGCTCCAAAACAATACAATCAGTCCACTTAGTGATATCATTTTCAATTAGTCCCTCTTTGTCAAACTCAACAATGCCGCCACTAGAGTTAACTATTCCAATATGCAAATCATCGCGTGTCACGTCGTAATCATCAAGAAAACTGCCTCGTGAAGGCCGAATAACAACACTGGTTGGATTATGAATGGCATTCGCAAACGGGCACGGAACACGAAACGGATCTACAATAAAGTTCTGCATTTGTGACGAACATACCGGACACATCGCCGGAATTTGCATGCAAAATACATTCTTGGTCTTGCAATGACGAAAACAGATGATGCCTGGATCATTGTTCATGTTCCCAAAGAACAAATTAAATTTAAATTTGACACTCCCAGATATACATATATTATAAGATCTTTTCTTATTTAATTCTTATTTAATTCTATTTTCAATTATTTAAAGAGATTTTCATTCCTCTCAAGGAAGACAAGAGAACTGTCAATCTGCAGAACAAAATGTATATACAACAAAAACATTTGTCACATAAGGAACAGCTTCGTCGATCACTTTATCCATTTCTTTCCTCACTATTTTACAATGCTCGCACTGGAAACGAGAAAGCAAAAGAACACGAAAAGTGTAAAAAAAATATATGTGATAACATAAAAAATAGACTTGTTCTTTCAGCCGATTTCATTTCTTGTCTTTTTCTTCTTATATTGAAAAAAAGAGAAAAAAAATGAATATTGCAAGAAATTCAACTAAAAAAACAGGCCTAAAATATGTATAAAATATTGGGTCATCTAAAAACCGATACTTTTTAGATGACCCAATATATACAAATTTGTATATATGTTAAGTAGCGAAATAACGCTACAATTCTAACCTAGATAACGTATTCCATACAATGTAAAAAATTAATGTTATTCCACAACATTACGTTCGTACATGATGGAAACATCTCAGGTGCATGTATTAATTATTAAAACAAAATATAATACGTTAACTGACTGACATTATCAAAATAATCAGATGGAAAAACAAAAGCATGTCTAAATTCAATTCTTTTCAAAATACTCACATGACTGACGCACATGCAACTGTAGTATGTATAAATGTCACAATGAGAATTCGACGTCAAATACACGTCAAATCACTCCAATGAGATTCAGTAATTACGAAACTTCTTATTGTCGTAAAGCTTTTGGATGCAACATTCAAGTACACAACGACTGGTATGACTACAATGCTGTCATCAGAAGACAATTTCTTCTCCTTCTCCTTTGATTAATAATTGTTTTTCATTTACACATTTAAGATCGCAGCACAAAATTTTGCATAACGCATAGTGCATCAACGAATCAACTAATCAGAATCATTCCTTTCCTCCCATTCCATGGAAAAAAAGATTTTCGATTGGTTGATGCATTATGAATTATGTGTATGCATATGTTTATGCGGCTATGCAAGTTGTGTGGATATACTCTAAGTAATGCACAAGCTTTAGCGTATGATATATGATTTATTGCTGTCTCTTGGAGATACGGTAATAAGTTGTACGTCATACGTGAAAGCTTGTGCATTACTTACGTCTACAATTTAAGTTGAAATTATTATTTTCTGTTCCCTGTTCCTTTTATTATGCGGAACCGCTTATAGTTATTGTAGAAGACCCATTACGGAATACAAGGATTAGTGTTAACGTCATAGGAGCAGCCGCAGATGAGTCTCTCGCTGGATTCAGCTGCAATACCAAAGAACATTATCTAGGAATCGAGAGCGTTCGAGAATGATGTTCGAAGGGTGTGGTCGAGTTGCCACTGCGAATGTTTTGAAGCATTTGATTAAGTCTGAATCTACAATAGGTATTTTAAACCTTGAACCATAAGAAATTAACCAACTACAGTCGAATACGAGGAGAATAATTGATTATGGTTCGTTTATTTCTTATGGCTTAAGGCTTAAAAATCTACAATATTGTAGATCTGGGATAACCAATCGGAAGAAAGAACTACTTTACTAATTGACCAATCCAAAAATGCTTCGAAGCATTCGTAGCGGCAACTTGATCGCACTCCGAGACCGATGCTTGGTCGGTAACTCGATGGCGCCACTGTTTCTTCGGTGTCGGCATCTAGCGGAACGAGGTAGAAGCACCAAAGAAGCTTCGAGATCGGAAGTTCTAGAGACTATTAAAAGCTTTGTTCTTCTTGCTCCGCACCTCACCGCACTTCTCTTCCATCATTTCCTCGTTACGGACTACATGTACGTTCTTGTGCTTCCCGTTGGACGTGGTGTGGACTCTACGACGACTATTAACCACGTATATTTGCAACCGCTGCACCTTCTTACACTTTCTGCAGCCGAAATATCAGAGCATAGCAGAGGTGCAAAAGGTGTAACGGAATAAAGCGCGAAAATAAGATACTGCATCACGCGACGAAGAAGGGCTTTTACCGATTTGGTTGGGATTGATGTGAAGAAAAGCGTGCGACTGCCGATCGCGGTGGACCGGACGAGTCTTAGGATTATACAGTCAGCAACTTCAAAGCGTCATCCTGGCGGCGAAGATGCAAGGCTGGTTTAATCGCGACGAGGATGGCAAGGTGATCATAGACAGCAATGGGTTTGTTACGATCACCTGCGAAGGTAATGGTAAATAGACCACAATTATATTATATATTTATATATATATATATGGTATAGTCTATTGGTATGTGCATTGTTTACATTACAATACTTTACCATATAATATTCATTAACAATAAGTCAATGCAGATGTATCAATGAATATTAATAACATCGATGTTGACAGAGGAAAATGTAGTTTTTCAACTGCATATATCAGAGATTGATGAAAAAGCCGAACAGATGTGCTTCAATGTCAATGGCAAAGACATATATATCGATGTTGTTCCATTTGAAACAAATGAAAATGATTCCGAGGGTGATAAGATCATGATTGAATCAGAGAGCAAGGAGTCCAAGGAGGAAAAGTTTAATAGTACTCCAACAACAAGTAAAAATGGAAACGCAATTTTCCCGTGGTGCGACGCTTCGACGAAGATCTTCTTGAGGGAGTACAAATTGAAAAAGGAATTAGTAAAGCATCGAAAGTTAAAAAATATGAAGAGGGCATATCAGGAAATAGCCTATAATTTGGCAGAGAATGGCTTCAGTGTATCGCCCTTGCAAGTAGAAAATAGATACAAAACACTTAAACGTGCTTATAAGAATATGATAACGCACAATAGGAGGAGTGGGAGAGGAAAATATATCTGCAGTTACGAAGAGTAAGTTTGTTTTTTTGGAGAATTTTTACAAGTTGACTTAATCCTTGAATCACATGTTAAATCTCTTTCTCTCCTTTTTTTTTTTTTTTTTTTTTTTTAATAAAGCCCTTAAGAACTATTCAGCCCATCTATTCTTATTTACACCTTAATTATTCTCTTTTTTTATCTAATACATTGTATAAAAATATATAGAGGTATTCCTGGATATCTTGAGCTCCAAATCTTTTAAGCTCTTTGTACAATTCACAACAACCTTAAGCCTTCTAACTTTTAATCATAGTTGGAGCAGTAAGCTTTTTAAATTTTCTGTATATGTGAAACATGTGATCGAACCTGGATCCATAGATTGCCAATCTGTAGGCTGAGCTTGTAGAACCATCCATGCCTCATGTCAAATATGTTAAATGTGCTTACAGTGATCTGGTTGAGATCTTTTCCAATGATATATATGACACAAAAATGAATGATGAAGATGATGCAAAGGATCCAAAGGAAACGTAAGTTATAACTAATCAAAATTATAAAATTATTTAATTAAGTACTTTAAGGTTGATTCATAAATATTTTTTTAAGACTTTCACCTATTACTCAAAAAAATAATTCGTCTAGTGAGACGTTTCGTTTGAAGACTCTTCAGCATAATGCCAGATTGGAGGCTCAGAACGTGAAGATAATTGAGAATCTACAGAGCTGTCAGCGTTTATTGAAGAATTTAATTACTTCTTTGGACAGTAAAAATAAAAATTCCAATTACGTGCCAAGTGGTGTCTTGCAGATATGTATGGAGATGCGGGATATACAGAAAGAGGCAAATGCACGTACAGAAGAACAAAGGGAGAAGGCTAAGGAGCAGAGAGAGAAGAGGAATAACTTATTGGAAGAAATTGTAACGATTCTTAAGTCTAGAAAGGACACGTAATACAATCAATATCAGACAAGTGTTGGACTCATCCTCAATAGTTACAGATTGATAGAATTTATTTATTCTTTTAAAAGTAAAGAGATAACTTTCTTGTTGTGTATTTTTATAATTTCATCACACGATTAATACACATTGCCTTCCTAGTAAAGTTTGTTCTGTGTACGTCAATAGATTTCATTATGATAGAATTTTTAAGCACAATGATTATTGTATATTCAATGATAACATGATATCGTATATGAAGTTGTGTTATGGAGCTAGTGTGAATATTTTTATTATAGTCAAGCTACATAAATTTTATATGAGATGGCTTTTATTTTTTACAAAAGTTTTTAAATTCTGCCGTGACTATTGTGGCAAAATTTTAAAACACCACTGAAAAATCAAACATCACAGAGGACAAATTATTACTACGACGGCAGTCAAAGTATTAACTTGTCTAGCGAGATGATTATAAAAAATAGATAAAAATAATTGTATACTTACTGATACAAAAAGTATCAAGTAAGATTCATCTGTAAAGTTATACATGAGGGTCGAGATTTAGAGGCTTATTCTGTAATTCTTAACGACTATAAAAACGACTGTGATCAGACTAAAGATTAAGATTGAGATTGAAATGAAATTTAACCAAAGCAAAGTTCATTAAACTTGAGATTGATTTTCTTCTGATTGGTTAAATTCCAATGCAATCTCTAGTCCGATTACACTTTTTACAGTCGTTAAGAATTATTAGACTCCTAAAATTCTGCTCACTACAAATCAATCACTTTTTTGTCTGTCACCGCTAATTTAAGTTACTTTACTGTAAAAATAAAATTAGATTAATATAATACAAGTTAGAAGATATGAAATGTAATTATAGTTTTAAAATAAGGTTGCATTTGAGAAGATAAAAATTTTACACAAATCCAAGTTACCTCTTATGACCTTGTGTAAAAACATTTAAAAATATATTAATATTTCTTATATTGTTGAAGTATTCTACAATATACTTTGAATTTTTTTGAACTTACCTAATTATTCTATAATCAAAACGAATATAATGAGGACAAAGATACTAAGATGATACATAAATATTCCTATAATTCATTTTTATTCTTATTGGTAAAAATCTACTCTTCCCTCTGGTTCCAACATTGATATCTGGCGACTTGGTAACTTTAACCGCCTACCTATAATGACCTACCTATATACCCATAGAAATATCGTGTCCAATAAGAGACTAGACTAACTGAAGCGTGGACTAGAGTGAGAGACGAAATCTGACGCAATCCTCGCGTCGCTCATATGTCTCCCGTGGTTGTGCGTTAACATATTTCTCTATTTATTAACGTATTTATTAATTTATTTGACAACAATGATCGTTTCCACGAATGAGGGTAACCCGAATGCGCTGAAGCTGATTATTGCAACTAAATTAGCGCAGGAAACCGTCTCTGTTAGGATTCTGAAGCCTAGTGGTGAGTTCATTAACCTCTTTCTGTTTCCCTCCATATCTTAGTTTATGTAAATTCTTAACGGAATATTCTTGAGATTATACATATACGACCTTGTCTTGCGGAATATTATCATGTCTTAATAGTCAAACCGATTAGCTCCACTTTTTGTCAATTTCTTAATTTATTAGAACATGAGTGTTCATATCTTCATCAATTTTCTCTACTTCTTAACTTGATCAATTTGACTTCTATGAGGCAGTTAATGCATGTGATTATGACTTATATATTATATGTAGATGCTATCCTGGGCCGTTTGCCGACGCTGACTACACCCACAGGATTATCTCTGTTCAGTGTCTCGTCAGCGTTGCGCTTCCTATTATCTGTACCTAAAGAATTAGAGGTTCTCAATGACAGATGGTTGGAATGGGAAATTTCTCAATTACAGGTATTATTTTGATTTAGCATTGAATCTCTATATATTAACTATAACTTTAGCTTTTATTTCTAATGGTCTTTGTGTTGTTTTTTTATTGTTATATCATTGAAAATGCTTATTCAGCAAAAGAATGATGCAGTAACATAGTGAATCATTCCATCTTTATTTAACATAGACAAACAATAAAGATGTAATAATTCACTGTGTATCATTTGTCTCTTGCTGAAAAGTATCCTGAATTGGACAGAAAGCTATTGATTTTAGGAATGTATAAAACTGGTTGCATTCAGGTGACAAAGCAGCTTAGTAAATGATTTTTTTTACAATTCTAAAAGCAAGAATCAATCATATTAAAGAATCATTGAGCATTCACTGAGCTGCTTTGTTTCTTAAACACAGTCAAAGATTTTTAATATTAAAGCTGTCATTCTTTGCAGCCAGCTATATTAAGTCACGCGAATGCTTCTAAAACTCTACAGAAATCCAACTTATGGTCTTTATTAAAAGATCTCAATAGTGAATTGAAAGACAAACAGTACTTAATTGAGGTAAATAATAAAAGCATTTTATTACTCAAATATTTTATTACTCAAATGTTCATTGTTTATGCCACTTTTTTTTAGAAATGTAGTAACTTATCACCAGCAGATATTTCTATTTGGGTAAGTCTTTGGAGCACTATATTGATTACAGATATCGCAAATGATATTGCCAAGGACTTACCAAGTGTCAATAGCTGGTTAGCTAATATTCAAAAGCAGCCAATTATCCAACAATCAATTAAGGTAAAGTCGCATTGTAATATCTATTTCATAAACATTGATTTGATATATGTAATTGATATATTTCTGAATGCAGGAATCTAATGAAATGTTCAAATTAGAGAGAGGTCCAAAGGCTATTGCAAGTATTGAAACTGCTTCTTGGTTCCCTATCAATACAACCTCAAATTCTCAAGTTCATGAATCAGTACCTAGTGATGTGAATATTTTAAATTAAATATTTTTAATGAACATTCCGCAAATAACAGTGAACCTCTCATATATATGTAAACCTAAATGATTTATTTTAGATTAGCCCAACTAAGGAAAAAGAGATGGATATTGTTAATCCAGAAGAACTTCGTAATGTGGCAAAGAATTGGACCACTGAACAATATCCAGAAGTCAAGGAAAATTCATATCCTATGTAAGTTGGATGAATTTAACAAATTTATATAATTTATAGAAATTTATTAAGCTAGTTATATTTTTCTTTTAGACTGCCTAAAAAAGGTGAACGAAATATGTTGATAACATCAGCTCTTCCTTACGTTAATAATGTCCCGCATCTAGGAAATATTATCGGCTGCGTTCTTTCAGCCGATATCTTTGCAAGGTTTCTATACTTAAAAAAATATTAATACAAATACTTTTAATTTAACAATACTATAACAAAATTTTTTAACTTCTGCAGGTATTGCAGGCAAAGAAATTACAATACTCTCTACATATGGTAATTATTTCTTTTTGGCAACATATAAGAAAATTAATATTCCACAATTCAAATAAAATTTTAGAATATAATTTAAAAATTTTATTTTAGTGGAACCGACGAATATGGCACTGCGACTGAAGCAAAAGCTCTACAAGAAAAAATGACTCCTCAAGCTATTTGTGATAAATTCTTTGATATACACAATGACATTTATCGCTGGTTCGGCATCGGATTCGACTATTTCGGCCGCACTAGTACACCTGAGCAGACAGAGTAAGATTCTAACCCCTATTTTTATTCTTTTATTTCTTTCGTTCCTTTATCTTATTTACATTAATTACATTCATTTTCATGATAATTCTTTTCAGAATCGTTCAAGCGTTTTTCCTAAAAATTAAATCGCAAGGCTACGTATTGACCGAGACTGTGGAACAACTACATTGCGAATTCTGTGATCGGTTTCTCGCTGATAGATTTGTGGAAGGCACGTGTCCTGGATGTAAGTACGAAGACGCGCGCGGCGACCAATGCGATGGTTGCGGTCATCTCGTCAACGCAGTCGAGTTAATAAACCCTCGATGTAAGATCTGTAACATTAAACCTGTCGTGAAAAACTCAGTACAGTTCTTCCTGGATTTACCCAAGGTGAAATTTATATCGTGATACTCCATTGATATGTTTCCAGCGAAATACGGAATTATATACGAAAATAGAACTCTTTGTTGCAGTTGGAAGAGAAACTGAAGGAATATTCCACTACACGTGATAAAGGATGGTCCAACGTCGCGAGAGTAGTTTCAAAAGCGTGGTTACGCGATGGTCTTCAGCCTCGTTGTATAACCAGAGATTTGAAATGGGGAATACCTGTCCCGGTAGAGGGTTTCGAACATAAGGTGTTTTACGTCTGGTTTGACGCTCCTTTCGGATATATCAGTATTACAAAGAGGTATACCAAAGAATATAAGCAATGGTGGCAACCTCCTTCTCAGGATATAAAAATCGATTTATACCAATTTATGGCAAAGGATAACATTCCATTCCATACGATAATGTTTCCCGCTTGTTTATTAGCGGCTAATCAAAATTATACGTTGATGAAATGTATACTGGCAACTGGTATGATATTTTCAAAGAATGCACATCTTTCGAACGCATTTTTTTACTTTGTAATTTTATGTTTTTATATCTTTTTTAATCTTTTTTTCTTTTTGAATCTTGTGAATTCTCTCTTTTTATTTGATTTCTTTACACATATTTGTTTATCAATTTTCCTATCGATGTAATATTTATTCTGTTTCAGAATATTTAAATTATGAGGATAAGAAATTCTCCAAGTCTAGAGGTATCGGAGTATTTGGAACCGATGCCAGAGATACTGGAATTCCAGCTGATGTATGGCGATTTTATTTAGCTTATATTAGACCCGAAACTCAAGATTCCAATTTTAATTGGGTGGATTTAGCCACGAAAAATAATAGCGAATTACTAAATAATCTTGGCAATTTTGTCAATAGGTTTGTTTTTTACTATATTTCTTTGTAAGTCATCAATAATTAATGTTCTATTATTAAAAGTCTCAAAAACTTGTTATGGATAGAGCTCTAGTATTCTGTGAAAAATTCTTCGACTCTAATATACCACCGATAGAGCCGGAAGAGGCCGATTGGACTGTATTAGCATTGGTACAACGTGAACTGTCGGCTTATATAAACGCCATGGAGCAAGGCAAATTGAAAGATGGTTTAAAACGCATATTGGCGATTTCGAAACACGGCAATCAATATATGCAATTCCAGCAACCATGGGTGAAAATCAAGGGAAATGACGATAACAAGTATAATCAGTTTTATTTATTTCAATTGCTTTCTCACCAATTGGTCCTCTCAAGTAATACCTTTATTCAAAATTAACAGGAAAAAAGCCGGAACTGTTGTTGCAATTTGCTGCAATTTAGCCTGTCTTCTTTCTGCTCTTCTGGCTCCCTTTATGCCCAATATAGCCAAACAATTGAGATCTCAACTAGGTTTGAGTAACAAAAATTATGGCTATATCCCCGAAACAATAACAAATATGTTACCTACTTGGCACAAAATCGGCAAACCCAGTCCGCTGTTCACTAAGATCGAAGATCAAAAGGTCGAAATGTTACGCAAAAAATATGCTGGACAGCAAGAGACTAATGGCGATGGAACGAACAAAAGTTCCGACGAAAGTATCGCATTATTAGAAACCGCTATCACAAAGCAAGTTAGTATATTTTTTTTCTTTTCTTATAATACGAGAATCATCTCATTGCATATTTTGTATTTCCTAGGGCAACTTAGTAAGAGAACTGAAAGCTAAAAACGATAAGAGTGTTTGGCACCCGCAGATAGAAATTTTATTAGATTTAAAAAAGAAGCTAACTGATCTCAAAAGTAATGCGAATGCGCCTGCGAAAAAATCACCTGCGAAAAAATCACCTGCGAAAAATAAGAAGGCCGA